TCACAGGGGACTCCGCCAGATGTTCCCCGCTGACCCTCACTACAAGTTTGGGCCTGCCAGGTCTGACCGGCTTCCTCCCCCACCACCGATCATCGAACTGCGGCCTAGGATGTCCTGGTGCCAAGTGCACATATGGACACCCTTATGCCTGAACATGGTGTTCGTGATGGACAATCCGTGACGAGCACAGAAGTCCAACAACAGAACACCACTCGAGTTCAGATCGGGGGGGCCGTTCCTCCCAACCACGCCCCTCCAGGTCTCACTGTCATTGCCCACGTGAGCGTTGAAGTCCCCCAGCAGAACAAGGGAGTCAGAATGTTTTCTTTATCCTCAAATGCACAGACAAGTAAAAAAACTTCCATCTCATTTTAATAGCAGATCTTGTCACATTCTGCATGGTAATAAAAATGTGAGCCGTTCATTGTTTTACATTGAGGGAGACCAATATTTTATGACTGTAGTAAATAAAGGAAATCACTATACTACAGCATCTTATTTGACTCCAGTTTGGGAAAGCATCACGTTACCAAAGTACAGTTTTCATATTTTCTTTTATACACTGCAGCAGACAACATAGCACCATTAACGGCCTCCTATCGATTTTTATGTGGATGTGGGCGTTGCCTTGTCCATACAGCCATCATGATGTCTCAAACTAGCATCGGCACTAAAAATTTTACAACTCTTCAGTGGGATTGGCTGGGTAATGGTAGTGGCCTTTATTACGAGCTCCTCTGCTGGCAGAGAGAGCCTGCCTTGGGAGCTGGGCTGAATAAGGAGCTGTTGGCGGGAAGAGAAATCAGAGGTTCTTCCAGAATGGCCTGTTCCAGGCTTTAGGATGCTGTCATCACAGGAAGGAGTGAAAACAAGATAGGAAGGTACCAAGGGAACCAAGGAAAGAAGAGCCACTTTACAACTTCTGCAAAACAATCTCTGGAAAAATGTGGAACTGCTCTGTGGTTCTGTTTTTATAAAGATTAATGTGTTCAAATACTTAATGGATTATGCACACTAATGATAAACAACAGTACTTCTCTATGTTCTAAAATCAGGTGATTCTAATGAGCAATATGTGTATCTGGGCTGTCTGAGAGACTGATGGAGCTCAGAGGACCGAGTGCCCCATAATGAAACATGCTCGTTTACCTAATGGCTAAGAACATCGCCTGCACTGATAGTGGACAAGCTAAGGCCGATGCTGGTAATGGATGGGGAACAGCTAATGACTCTTCTCACCCCCCCACCCCCATCCAATTGCTGCCTGCATGTTGACCAGTATGCTAAAAACCAACAAGAGCAGATTGAAACGGAGCTACTTGCAAAATAATCCAAGAGCTCTCAAGCTGATTTGCCTGCTCACTGATGATGCAAATGTACTGAACATTTAGGCTCATTAGGTTTAAATTAGTGCTGTCAAGTTGAGTGCAAACAATAACCAGTAAGTGCGTTTTTAAAAGTGCCCTTACCACTAAACACAGTAAAATACAAATTATTTTGTATTATTCAATTTTCAGAAATGGGGAGAAATTAATTCATGACCACGGCTAGCACATTGTCTAACACTGTTACTGTTATATTTATTTTAGATTACCCTACTCTTGTCTTTTGGCCTTTAAATTTTAGTTACAACAGATTGGTTAAAACAGGACTATTCAACTGGCGGCCCGCGGACCACAACCAAAGTTCGGCCCGCCAATTGTTTCTTTCTTCTCTTAAGCCCAAACCCCCGGTTTTCTACTTTAATTAATAAGTTATTTTAGTTAAACATACACATGTTTGATATCAACAGAAACATCAGAACCTTGGCTACAAGCTGATAAAAACCATTTCTATGAACATCCAAAACAGTTAAAACTACAAGCAGTTGAAGATAAAACTATGAAAGTGAAAATAAAATTGGTTTAAAAACTTGGAAAATCAGAGATGTCAAAATATTATGTGTGACAAATAGGAGGCATAATGTGCTCTTTTTGTTTTTGTTTTTTAATTTTCACTACATTTATTACATAGGGTTCTGTATGTTGTATTCATGATTAAATGCAGCAAAATAAACTATTTCAAAGATAACAGTTCTTTGTAATACTTGGTTTATTTACATTATGACTTTAATTTCTGGATGTTCGGCCCCTGAGCTGTTGGCCTGCAGTAACTGTGGCCTCTGGAGAAGTTTAGTTGAATAGCCCTGGGTTAAAATATTACACAATGGAATGGGACACCTCAAAATATAAAAAAATAAACAAATTGGAAATAGCTTCTTGTTTTTAACATAAAACACAAAATAAATGTTCAAGATTTGCAGAGCTAAACTACCATAACTTGTAAAGTAGTTCTCTTCCCTAACATGAGCTGATAGATGGACATCTTCTCTCATCGTCTGCAGCAGTGAGTGAAAATTTTGTTCAGTTTTATGTAGCCTCTCCTTTACTTTGCTGCTTTTATATCTGAAAACAAAAACAGCTGAGCTACCAGTGCCAGGCTCATGCAAGTTGCCTCTCATGTGCCAAGGAATGAAAAATACAAACACCAAAAGAGCAAAATGCAGCCTGCTTGCTACTCCTGGACTCCTGTTCTGGGTGGCTAAAGATCTTACAACACATTCATGTTCAATATCAACTGAACTTCTTTGTATATGTTACAAAGAAACGCAGCAACAGTAACAGGAGCTGGCAGCTTTGTGGGTGTGTAGGAGAGCCAGCATCCTCTCTAGGACACAAGTCATACTGCGAGTATTTTCTGTGTTTCCTCACAGCTGAACAATTTCTAATTTTTTATTGCTCTTGTGGCCATCCCAGCTCCCACAACGCAAAGCCCAACAGAACACACTACTACACACCTAGAGGGAACAAAGACAAAATTTTCTGGTGAAATTACACCTTTGTGTTTTCCCATAGCAAATAATTGTTTGCTTACGTATTTTGAGTAAAAAAAAAGTCATTTAAATCTTTTTTTAAGTTAATCAACACTGCAATAAACAGCTACAATTGTGTTATATCGGATGTATAAATTTCATCTGCCAAAGAGTTAATCTGTTTAAAAATAACTTCACCAGCACGGAGGTAATGTTTAACAGGTTATTGATTATGCAATGGTGGGCAGATGCATTCATAGTAAAAGAGGAAGCCTGGGCTTCCTATTGATAAGGTAAAGACCATTGAAACACCTCTCTAGATAGTCTGTTCTACCCACCTAATTGTTCTCCAAGGAAGATCCAGTCTGTGCATGAGCTTTGCATTAGATTTTACCATCAGCTCTCTTGGAAATCTTACAACAAAATTCATTTCCTTTTTTCCCCCCCAGGACAGTAAGACAACAATTAAAAACATTTTTGTTAAGACTACAAAGTATCTCTCTACCTTTTTGATGGCCTCATAGACAGCTCGGAAAGCTGGCTGCTTGTCATTATGATAAACTCCTCTGTTACCATGGAGAATAAAGACACCTTCTTCTTCAGCCTGTTGACAATTGCTGCCATAGATACAGTGGTCTGGACGGTAGTTCCACTGGCAAGGGAACACAAACAGGCTTTCTGGAACAGACCAAAAAAGAAAAAAAATGTAAGGAAATACTATTATTCAATATAAATCCATTGCAGTTCTTATTTAATTGTAAATGTCTAAAAAACAAAACATCGTTAGCAATTATGTTTTGCATCTTGAGCAAATGAAACCTATCTTACAGAATTATTGCAAACATTGAAGTGGTACCTACCTGGGTTATGATAAAATATGATATTAAGAAGGTCCTGGTCACCCCAGGTGATATTGAGTTTATACTTTTGGAGAAGAGGCATCAAAATTTCCTCCCACGTCAGTGGAAAGGCTGTCATGTCATTCTGGAAGGAGGGAACACAGAAACAATAC